AGTTATCTATTTGTTGCTAGGTTATTTCTTTCTTCCCGCTAGGTTAGTTGTCTATTTGTTTCTAGGTTAGTTGCCTAATGATGCTAGGTTAGTTTTTTATAGTTGCTAGGTTAGTGTCTAATGCTGCTAGGTTATTTTTTGTAATGTTGCTAGGTTAGTTTTTTTTTGTTGCTAGGTTAATTGTTTAATGCTGCTAGGTTAGTTCAATTTCGTTGCAAGGTTAGTTGTATGTATATGCTATGTTTTCTGAAATAATACTATGCAATAACAACACATCAAATTTCTATTTATTACAAGCAGAAATGTCACTGGTCTTATTACAAGTTCTACTATTATGATTTCCCACCTCTCCACATTTTCCACAACGTCTTTTCAACTTTTGACTTTCTTTGATAGATTTTTCTCGTTGTGACAACAATCGGCTTTTTGTGCTGCTTCCGCTCCCCTTATTTTTTGCTTGCTGTGGTGGCAGGATATCAACCTCGATATTTGAAACAGATCCACAGAACTCTTGTATCACAGCTCCTTTACTTAGTATTGAACTTGAAACTTGATGTGCACCCAACAAATGGTTCTTTTCTTCATTTATAATCCTCGATAATCGTTCCAATTTATCATCATTACCTTCAGCAAGACTTATACAACAATAAAAATCAGACCATAGATTGTTTAGATATGCATTTCTCTGATTTTTGCCATCAAGTGGATTTAATCTTGCATTATCAATACCATGTCCAGAAGAAGCAACCTTAAGCAACGGTTGAGAAGGTATTCCTCTGGTATTTTTTCTAAATCCTTGATTAGCATTATTGCGTGACGACATAACAATCCAAACTGTTGAAACTTTTTGCAGCTGCAATCTACCCAATCCCCGCACTTATTAAGAATGAAGTCAATACCATCTCGACCAACTTCTACAACCTTATATCTGGTTGTTTCATGCTCTTTTTCAATATGCACAGGCACACATCTGAAACATGCTGCTTCAATCTCCATTTGCACCTCTGAAAACACTGTTTTTGTGTAAACTTTTGCAGCATGTTTTTCAATTTGTAACGGTGTCTTGCACTCAGGAGGTGCAGTCACACATTCATGATTCAGCTTCCTTATAACATGCCTTTGTGAATCCATTGCACTTTCAAAATGCATAAAGAACTCAACTAAGTTTGCTTGAGGAGATATGTAACTTCCGAACCAACTATTAACACTCTCAGACCTAGAAGTTGTTTTCAGTAGGCCACCCATTTTGACCTCCTTAAAGTATGCTGGTATCCACGACTTTCTAATCTGAAATAGATTGTTAAACCACTGATTCTCTGTTAAGGCAAAATCATTCATCAATCTTCTCCACTTTTCTTCAAATTCATCAGGATTTATGTAAATATCCCACACAATTTCATTCAGCCTTTTGATGAAGTTATTATCCTTGGCTAATGTAGGAGCAACCTTTACATTTACCTTTTCCATGATATGCCACAAGCACAAACGATGTCTTGTCTGTTTGAAAGTCGCCTGAATTGCATTCTTCATAGCAGGATCTTGGACAGTAACAATGTAATATGGTTCATTTCCCATAGCTTTCAAAAAATTTTCCAATAACCAAATGTATGATTCCACATCCTCTTTAACCATCAATCCAGCTCCAAATGTGACACAATTTTTATGGTTGTCAATTCCTGTAAATGGTACAAACACCATTTTGTACCTGTTTAAAGATAGAAAGCAAATCAGAATAATAAAAGTTAGATATATCTGTGGTTGCTAGGTTAGTTGTTTTTGGTTGCTAGGTTAGTTGTCTTTTATTGCTAGGATAGTTGTCTGTTGGTGCTAGGTTAGTTGTCTGTGGCCACTAGGTTAGTTGTCTGCAGCTGCTAGGTTAGTTTTATCATGTTGCAATGACAGTTGTATGTTGTTGCTAGGTTAGTTGTTTGATGATGCTAGGTTAGTTCTCTACTATAGCTAGGTTAGTTATCATACGTTGCTAGGTTAGTTATATCTAGTTGTAAAGTCAGTTTAACTCACATGCTACTAGAAAACATACATTACATATAAATTAGAGTCAAGTCAAGGGAAATGTTTGCGTACCTGTTAGTGTTGTAGGTTGCGTCAAATGAAACAACATCTCCAAACATGAGGTAATTTTTTCTTGAAATCTGGTCAGCCCAAAAGATCCTGCTTAATTGATTATTTTCATCCATAGCATATTCAAATGCAATGTCCGGGTAAACTTCCTGCTTGTTGAGAAATTTCTGAATGATGAGTTGTGCATCTGCCCCCGACATGTAAGTCATAAGTTCTCTTTTGAAGTTTCTAAAATCAATTGCCAGAGCACCAACATTTTCATATCCTCCAACCATTTTTTTGTATAACCTGTGTGTTTTAGCAGGTCCGATGTTGGCTTTTACACAATTAAGGACAAACTTCTGATGGTCATAGTTCAGTTGCTTGTTTGCATTCAAATAATGTGCTTCCAATGTCAAACTGCGGCTGTGTTTCTCTTCGAAATATGTAATTTTGTATCTTTTTCCATCATCCTATTCAAACACTGCCCGAGCCATGCAACCAATTCTTTCTGAAACACGTTCTCGATGAACTCCTTCTGAATTTTTGGGTCTGGATTGTAGTTTAAATCCTTCCTTGCTGCAAACTATGAATTGTTTTCTCACCATCCCACTTCTAAAACATTTTTTTGTACTAGTACGAACATCAAATCCACCATTTGCTCCATAGTTTCTGTAATATTGTATTCCAATTTCCAGATTCTCAAAGAGCATGCCAACTTTAGGTCTTACATCTTCTTTGACAATTGGTATCCAGTACTTTGTTGAATTTGGTGATATCACCAATTGAAATTGACATCCATCATGTGTAATACCTGTTGCAAAATATCATACAAAAACATTAGCCTTAATAATTGCAAATGCAAGGTTATTTGTATCGTGTTCCAATGTTAGTTGTATGTTTGCTGCTAGGATAGTTATATCTATTTGCAAGTTTATATGTCTCTTGTTGCTAGGTTTGTTATATTTATTTGTTAGGATAGTTCTCTGATGCTGCTAGGCTAGTTGTATGTAGTTGCTAGGTTTTTTTTTTTTAAACAAACAGCGCAACGCCCCGGAAGGGCGGGGGATTGGGCTGGATTCCCAACCTGTGCATAGATCAGGGCCCCAAAATCGGGAGCCCAAAATATCAACGAACAAGATACAAAAGTCTATGGAGTCTCACAATCACAGTCAAAAACAAAAGAAGAACAAAAAGGAAAAACCGAAAAACGAAAAAGAAACAAAAACTACAATACAAAGCCGATCTTCGGGCTAACAAATGCCCGAAATAAATGTATATACTAATGAAAACAGAAATCCTCAACTAGTGAAAGCGGAACGCTGGATATCCAAGCTGGCCCATCCGTACAAGAGTGCGAAGGCGGAGTGGAGCAGTGTCGGTCTGGAGTGTATGTGTGCCTGGTATGGTGGCGCCAAGGTTGGCCAGGTAATCAGCCGGTCTGTTCTCCTCACGGAAAATGTGCGTGATCCTGTGATGGACTGACCGAAGTAGATCTCTAATGCGCATAAGCGGGTGCTGAATCTACCACGAGCCCTGATGGCCCGAAGTCAGAAGGGTGGCGACAGCCGCAGCATCCAGCTCGATCCATATATGACTAGAGAGGTGGACAACAATCTGAAGGCCAATCTGTAGTGCCTGAATCTCTGCATCGTAGCTCGAGGAGGCCTGAATGGACGCGTGGAAGGCTGTGATGAGGGCGCCGCTATGGTCCCGAATCAAGCCTCCTCCTCCGGCAAGTCCAGTGTGGCGATCAAAGGAGCCATCAGTGTTCAGCTTGACCCACGGGGAGTCAGGTCGAAGCCAAACAACAGTTCTGGCCCGAGGAGGCCGAACAGGCGATGGTGGGGCCACCATGTAGCGATGCGGTGGCGTGCAGCCTGTCCAGTCTCGGGCCGTGAGCCTGCCTAAAGCGATGAGGAGTGAAATGTGTCTCTCTACCTGCAAAACAATGTGAGAATACATAAAAGTAATATCCCTATGCTTCGCACTATTCCTTTCTGTCCAGGTGAACCAAAGGATCAGACAAGGAATGAGGAAGCCCAAAAATATGATGCGACAAAAATAGGATTCAAATTTTGCCATAAGAATCTCCAAATTAGTTACCAAAAAAATAGGATTCAGATTTTGTTACTAAAGATTCACATGTATTTTTTCGAACTTTTCATTTATAGTAAGTCAATTGTTTTATTTATTAGGTCAAACTTTCTATTAATGTATTTTTTCAACAACCTCTTTATATATATAGATATAGATATAGATATAGATAAGACTCATAATAATTTTCAAAAATTTGGAAAGAATAATTTAAATAATAATATAATATGTATTATATGATATGGATATACACAAATAAGGGAACATGTTTATCATAGGAATGAGAAGTATAAATGAAACAAATCTTTTAGTATTCTTAATATTGATTTTATATTTGTTACGCCACTAACACATCTTTTAAATATTTAATTAAGAAGAATAGCATACTTATGCTTAACGTTTCATATATCAATATATATATATATATATATATATATATTACATATGTTAAATCTGTAACATTATTTACAATATCATAATTAGTCGTTAATTTTTTTTTTATTTCGATCTACTAAATTATAAAATTTTAATAGTAGGAGTAATTTAGATCTCATTATATTAATTATAATATTTTATTAAATAAAGCGAGTAATTTATATCTCATTATATAAATTATATTCTTATATTAAATAAAGCCATTAGTATGTAATATCTTAATTAGTCGAAATAAAGTGATTTACTAATGGAAATATAAAATTTAAATTGAAAATTTAAACAACACGAATTTGATTTACTAAATTATAAAATGNCATCTCATTCACACCTATCCAATAAGTACATGCCATGTGGCCCACTACCATCACACACCCCATCCGTCATCTTTCTCACAAACACACACACAGAACCGCGACTTCACCTCGCAATTTCCGACCGAAGTCTCAGGCGACAATTTCCCGTCTGAAGGCTCCGGCGCCGGTGTACCTCCACGATGTCCGGTCGCGCTGTCGGACGTGGCCGATCTGCAGGTTAAATTCCACCACGGCCCCTCCTCCGCTGCACGCCGCTACTCTGGATATTCCGGCGGCCATCTTCTTCCTTGCCCACCTCCTCTCCCACCTCCTTGACTCCTCCCGCTCTTCCACCATATCCACCGCCGGCCTCACCCTTCCCTCCAACGCGTCGGAAAATCGAGCTTCAAGTTCGAACCTAGAGCCATTAATGGCGGCCCCCACTGTCAACAAACGGTCCCCGCTGTCGCACCTCAACACAGATCATCTCAGCATACCTCCAGACACATCACGGCCAGACGACCTCGATACCTCGACATCCGCCGCTGCCGCCTATGCCGGCGTGGGCCCCGTCCGATGGGACATGAAATTGCAATACCAGTCCCGTTGAATTTGATAGATTTATAGATTTAGATTGACTCCAATACCAGTCTCGTTGAATTCATAGTTTTGGAATTCATAGTTTTAGATTTTGTGAATCAAGATTTATAGATTTGTAGATTTTGTAAATGGACTCGTTGAATTCACAGATTTAAGGCTAGGGGCATGACTTTGAAAATTTGATAAATATGAAGGACTTATGTGCAATTGCCAATTTCAGGCATATTAATTATTTTCAATTTAGTCCTAGTGGCAGATCCGTAATTTACAAGAATTTAATAAAACAAATAATAGTTTTACATGTAACGCTTTGATCAAAAGTCTCACTGCAACGACAATTAATTACATTTCCTGATTAAGATGTAATTAAGAAATTGCGGCTCATAAGTCAAAACAAAAAAGAAAATTTAATTTCCACCAAATATGAAATAACTATCAACTTATCTAGATAATTATTCTAAGTTTTAAGAAGAAATTAATTTAACAAATAAATTAGAATATAAAATATTGTGGAGTGCACGTTACAGTTAGATGGATTGCACATCAATGCATGTGATATAGCACATAAATGTATAATTCACACATATAACTATATAATTTTTTTTTATATGTTATAGATAACATATTATTTATTTCAATAAATAATAATATAAATTATTAAATAAAAATGTAAATACTAAATATAGTTTTATTGTACAAATATTTTGATACATGCAAAATAATGTTAATTGAAATACATATTATTAATGATTTTAAAATTAAAATGCACATGAAAAATACTCGATAGATAAATTACACGATAGCAGTAAACGAAAAACACATTATGTATAAGGGAATGCATATTATTTATTTCGGTATTTTATATATTTATTCTTTTCAACAACAAATGATATAAAATTTAAATATTGATATTAAAATAGTAAATGTATTTTTATAACATAACCAATAAAATAAATTCAATTATTTAGGGTAACTTCGTTAACGATCGAATAAATCGATTATTTCATTTCGATTTTAGGTTGGTTTGGAACAAATAATTAAAATATGTATACGATGTGAGTGCACAATAGTGTTAGATGAGTTGCACATTAATATATATATATATATATATATATATACATACATAATGTATTTTGCACAAAAATAATAATATAAATTATTAAATAAAGATATTAAAATAATAAATATATTTTTTTATAATAGAATTACAGTTTAGTTAGACTATTTAGATTAATTCGATTAACCGATCAAGTAAACGGTTATTTTGTTTTTAGTTTGTGTTTAGACAAATCAATAAAAAAATAATTGAACTTCGAGTGCACATTAATGTTAGACGGATTGCACATTAGTGACTGTCGGGTTGCACTATATATATATATATATTAAAATATATGTATAAAAATAATAAATAAAAATATCGGTATATTTTTTTATACATATATATATATTAAATAATAATAAAAATATTGAGAAAAATAATATAAAATAATAAAATCATATAACATAATATAACAATAAATAAAATAGTGAGAAAATATAATATAAAATAATAAAATGCCACTTCCCTATTATTTGTCTTAGCGACTTTTCCTTAGCGAAAGACCAAGTATTTGACTGCGATCTGATTGACCAATGTATCAAATTGGCCTGCCGCCCGTTTCGTTGAATTCAGGATCGTCTCCAGAAATTTAGAGGCTTCAGACAATTTTTTCAGAGTGGCCCGCAATCATATTTTTATATTTTTATTTGAACAAATAATAACAAGCATTGCCAATAATAAATATGAAAAATACGATGAATATGAAAAAGATAAGTAAATTAAAATATAAAAACATTTTAAAATAAAAAAATTAATGATTACTATACATGTATATTAATATAATTTATTTTCATTTACTCACTTATTAATAACAAATAGTTCTTATTTGTTTATCTATAATTAATTATTAACTCACTTATTAATAACAGACAATTCTTATTTGTTTATTTATAATTAATTATTATTTTTACATAAAGCAAGATAAACTAATTGAAATGAAATTAGTATGTAAATTCCTCTAAATGGAAGTGTAAATAGAATTTGGGCCCAGCCAACATAATAAAAAAAAAAAA